TAGGCTCAGTTCATGGCTCTGTCGTACCAATTTCACAACAGTGCAAGTCCATTAAGGGCAATGGCGTCATGCCACCATAAAACTGGTATACCACAGCAATGAAGCAGGCCCACTCACTCCAATGGGATTTTCCAATTTGCTTTGTACCCCTGTAGCGCATAATCATTTCTTCACATAAGCAGTGCCGATGGGAGCTTGTCTGTAAGGAGTGTGGACATGAGTGAGGGTTGCAGGACGGAGCTCTAATTTTGGAAGATGAGGGTTGGATTCTGTATATTACAGACACAATATAAATGAATGCATATATAGGTATAAGGCCCAAGCCCATGGAAATCAATGAGAGTTGAGGATGCACCACACCTTTCAAGATGTACCTTGTAGAATCGGGCCAATAACATATTTCAAATACATTTCCTTTTTCCACTGTCTGCACTGTAAGTTAATAAGTCAGTTTCTGCATGTAAAGCTGGGGTACTTAGAGTTCAGTAACACACACAGCAGACACCTCTGTAGAAGGGGTGTGGGGAACGTTACTGTACTACAGTGCTTTCAGTGGCAAAAGATTGTGACAAATGCTGATGAGTCACATGGAAACCACCCAGGAGATGCTACAGGGCAAATATCTTAGTGTCCCTGCTGAAAAGCTTAGGATCTGGTTCAAAATCTCAAACAGCAGCTGCAGAGAAGACATTTGCCTACAAAGCTGTGTTTCTGCTCAGGGCTTTGATCTTTCCAGATGCTGCTGCTGTGCTGAATATCTGCCCGTTCAGACAACCCCCTTCCCAGACTTCTGCTTTGGTTTGCAATGAAAAGAACATAAATGTTCCCTCCAGCGGACAAATCCCTGTAACGCCCAAGTGCAATCATACTCCCCTTTCAGTTACACCAGAGTGACTCCACTGATTCCAAAGGAATTGCGCCAGTGTAAATGAGAGGGAAAACTGGCTCCATAAGGTTGCAGAGAGGGTAAGGATTTGACCCATTGTCCATACTTTTAAACAACTGTTGCATGCTACATAGATCTGAGACCTGCATGCTACATAGATCTGAGACCTTCCAGGCCTTGTTTCTCCTTTTCTCTGCATGGATCTTGGGGCCTGACTCCAGTAGATGTCTCCCTCACTTTAAATGATGTGGATTCCTCCAATCCACAACCCTTTCCCCCAGCTCCTAGTCTGCAGGTTGCAAGGCTGTGCTAATTTCAGAGTCTGCGGAGGAGAGAGCAGCAGCAGATGCTCAAAAGGAGGAGATGGCTTTTGGCTTTGACAGGGCTATGAAAACAGACTTAAAAGTGGGTTCTTTTCACGCACCATTAAATCTGGAATTCATTAAAGCCTCATCAAACCAAGGCTTGGATCAAGTTCATGGCCGTCTCGGATGGGCCTGATCCTCCCTCTTTAGGCTCTGAGGTTGGTACCCTTCAAGGTCGTGAATTAGGCACTTTGGGACCATGTTGGGTAACATTTTCAAAAGTGCCTGAGCCTAAATCCAACTAGGATCCTAAACCACTCATTTTACCCAATCCGTCATTGATTTTTACACCCAACTTGCCATTGTTCAGCTTTCAAAATCAATGCTACAAATATAGGCTCTTTGGTTTCGGTCTCACGCTGTATCATAATGTCATAAAGCCTGTGTTGTTCTCCCCACAAATCTGACTGTAATGGAAATGACGTGCACATGTAAACTTCAGGATTCAGCTCATGGTTTCGTTTACACTTTGGCAATCTTGTGTAGCTCCTTGCAAATAACTAAACAAATAAATACAAGTATTCTGCCAGCACCTAATGACCCCAGCTGGGTTAGGGGCTCTGTTGTGTTAGGCACTGTAAAAACACAGAGCAGAACCCAGTCATCCCACTAAAGTCTATGGTTGAACTGGACTGTGTGCATTTCACTCATGTTATTACTGACAACTGAACATGACTTGATCTCCTTTCACACTACATAAAGTCAGGTTTCAGAGTAGCAGCCGTGTTAGTCTGAATTCGCAAAAAGAAAAGGAGGACTTGTGGCACCTTAGAGACTAACCAATTTATTTGAGCATAAGCTTTTGTGAGCTACAGCTCACATTGGATGAAGTGAGCTGTAGCTCACAAAAGCTTATGCTCAAATAAATTGGTTAGTCTCTAAGGTGCCACAAGTCCTCCTTTTCTTCTTACTACATAAAGTGAATTTTTTCCCCTCCATATGTGCCTATCACTCTGATTTCCTGCAATAATTTCATTTCTTTCACCTGGACTTTCTAACCAGCTGTTCCCCTCTTGTAATGAATCTCTCCCTTTGCTTGTTAACTGCCTTCCTACAACTTTTCCACATTTCATACCAACACCTAGAAAAGTACAGTCTCCGCAAAGTATCCCCTTAGGTTAGAAAAGCCACCCAGCTGGAAATGATCCTTGTTCCATTTAAATACTAAGGGCTAAGGCCTGCAGGCAAAACTCCCATGGAATCCAGTGGGAATTCAACTTGAGCAAAGATGGAGGTTTCAGCCCTAAATCAGTGGTTCTCAACCAGGGGTATGTATACCCCTTGGGTATGCAGAGGTCTTCATCTAGATATCTGCCTAGTTTTACAACAAGCTGCATGAAAAGCACGAGCGAAGTCAGTGCAAACTAAAATTTCCTACAGACAATGGCTTGTTTATACTGCTCTATATACTATACACTGAAATGTAAGTACAATATTTATATTCCTGTTGATTTATTTTATAATTATATGGTAAAAATGAGAAAGTAGGCCATTTGTCAGTAACAGTGGGCTGTGACACTTTTGCATTTTTATGTCTGATTTTGTAAGCAAGTAGTTTTTAAGTGAGGTGAAATTTGGGTGTACGCAAGACAAATCAGACTCCTGAAAGGGGTACAGTAGTCTGGAAAGATTGAGAATCACTGCCCTAAATGACTGGATTGGGGGTTACATTTAAAGCAATCATTGTTGAACTTCAGGCTGTTATAAAACATCTTTTAAATTTTTCATACCCAGCTCGCGTGCATATTTTAAAGTGGGGTTTTTTTTAACATAAAAAGTCACTTGTACTTAGTACTTTTTATTTTAAAACCCAAATATCTTTTACTCGCTTAGGCCCTGATCCTGCAATTGGATCCACCCAGGAAGACCCCCGTGTAAATTACAGCACTACATAGGCAAGGCGGTCTACAGGCACAGATCCATTTGCTGAATTGGGGCCTTGGTCTTGAACTTAAAATTCTTTCCTGTAGCACTAAATGTAAAAGATCATTAATGTTTGGTTGGTGGGCTGGACAATATAATTGGTACCGTACAAAGGCCCAGAGACCAATTCAACCCCACGCTCTAAGAGCTTAGAATCAAAGCTTGTAACCTACATACCCGAACAAGTTTGGTGTTTCCTGCTAGGGACAGCTGCTTTGAAGTCAATGGAACTACTGTGATAGCAGGCTCGGTGCTTAGTACTAAGAAGTAAGGATTGGGCCCAGAAAGTTAGATGCATAGAAGAAAGATGGGCTGAAAAATGCAGAGAAGGGAATAATTTAGAGAGCCTTCAGGTATTCCTGGATTTGGTTTTGTTGTGGTATTTAAAATTATTATTAACTCACTACTTGTGGGCAACGGGGAAGATATGGGATTTTTTTAGGAACAGTCTAAAAGATTATCGAAATATGTCAGACATTGTGTATTGCACATCTTAACAATACTGTCTGATAACACCACAAGGCTGGTGCAAGCTTTGTCTTTAAAATACCAGGTGGCACTTTTTAAACTTTTTTTTGTATCGGCAACAAAAAGCTCCAAGAGCTTGAGATGCCCAGTCCCCAAACAATAACTCCCTTTATTTGTGAAAAGCTTTTAAAAATCTTAATAAAGCATTGTACAAATTCACACTAGACTAGGAAGAAAATTCGTGCTAAACACTATTACCTACAGGCACATTGTTCATGAATTCAAATAGTTTTCCTAGTACTGTGTTTTATTTTTAAACTACACCACCCTCAGCTGAGGCTAACCCAAATAGGGCAGTAGAGAGAACATGGAGAGGAAACTGGATTTAGAGATGATACACTTGTGATTATACAGAAGATTCACTTTTTTCCCCTCCCTTCTCTCTCCAAAATAAAATAAAGAGGCAACAGTGTTTGCCTCTTAGGTGGATTTTTTAAGACCTGTGCACTTTATGCTAAATCAGCATTTAGGCTCCTAAATAAAAGTGAGCAGGCGTCACCAAGCTTTTCAAAACCGGGGGCCTAAAGTTAGTCTCCTAAATCTACATTAGGCACCTAAATTGGTGGTTTCGTTTTCAAAAGCACTCAGGACCCAGCAGCTGCATAGAAGCCAGTGGAAGCTGGCTGGGTGCTCATCACCTTCCACTTATGTAGAAAAGTAAATCTGAATGTAACAACTCTTTTCCCTTCCTCTTCTCCCCGGCCGCATCTTCCTCACCCCGCTTTCTTCAAGGGGCCCTCCCCTTTCCCTTTCCTTCAGCTTATCCCCTCCTAACTCACCCACACACCCCAAAAGTGCGGCACTACCATGCCATGGGCCACTGGACATGGTTCACTCTGCTGGGGTGTTATACCCATTCTCCCTCCCGTGTCTGTCCGGTCTATTTAGACACTTTCCAGGGCAGACACTGTGTATGTACAGCCCCTAGCACATTGGAGCCTTGTTCTTGATTAGTCTCCAGGCCCTGCCAGAATAACCAGGACTTAATAATAGGTAACAACAACAACTTGGGGCACCCAAGCCGGAAAGCGTTGGCCTTGGGCCGCTCCTTGTTTTCTTAAGCAGCCAGCTCCTAATTCGGACCTCATTTCTCTACCTCCCCCAGCAGTCCCGCGACCCCCATCCGCCCAGGACCCCTGTCTCTCCAGAGAGGTGCAGGCCAGCCAGAGGGGGAGGTGTGGCCCGGCCAGCCCCCCCTGGATCGCAGCCCGCAAAACCGGGCGGCGCAGGTCCGAGTCCTCTTCCCCCCGCTAGCAGCCTGGCTCTCGGGGGGCAGCTGGGCGCGGCGCGGCACTTACCGAGGTTGGCGTGCCGGGCGGCCCCCGCGGCGCCCCGGTTGGGCAGGTTGTGCAGCATGGGGCTGTCGAAGGGCGAGGCGCTCCACGTGGTGCCCATCTCCGGGCTCACGTAGGCGGGGTAGGGGCCGGAGTAGGAGCCGCCGAAGCCCCGGCCGTACTGCTCCCGGCTCAGCGGGCCGCTGTACGGGGCGGCCTCCCGGGAGGCGCCGGGCGAGAAGGAGAAGCGGGGCGAGACGGGCGGGTGGGAGGCTCCGGGGTTGTAGGCGGCGGGCTCGGCGCCGGGCTGCGTCCAGATGGAGTGGCTGGAGGCCGGGCTGGCCTGCTGGGAGGAGCCGCCGCTCTGGAGGTAGGGCAGGCTGGGGAGCATGGAGGTGACCCGGGTGGTGGGCACGTAGACCGGGGAGGCGGCCGCCCCGCCGTGCATGAACCCGCCGGCCCCCTCGTAGGCTGGGGGGCCGTGGTTCGCGGCCATGGCCAGGCTCTGATACATCGCGGCGCGAAGCAAGGCCGGGCCCCGACACAATCCAGAGTGGGCGGCAGGTTACCACGTTGGCTCCAGCGCAACGCTCAATTGCTGGGGCGGGGGGGGGGGGTGTTATTGCCCACTCCTGTCCAGGGACCATGCAGTGCTCAGTCCGGTCCAGCAAGCCCCAGTCCTCCCTGGGGTCCGGCTTCCCACGCCGGGCTTCTCCACGCAGGCGGAGCTGTCTGTCCTCTGCAGGAGCCGGGTCTAGCGCCTTAGCTGCTCCCCCTTGGCTCCATCCATCAAGCCAGAGCCACCGGGGCTGGGGAGTTTAAACATTGGGAGTCTCCTCCCCTCTCCTGCGGGCCGGCTCACACCCACACCTAGCAGGGAGAAAGCACAGCGGGGAGAAGCTGGTTAGGAGGGGGGGGGGGCACAAACCCAGCCTGCGGAGATAAGGAGGTTAGAGAGAGCTGGGGAGGAGGGTCACGGAGGGAAGGTGAGAGACGGAGCATTCCCCAAGGCTCCTCCAGGAGCCCCTGGAGCAAAAAACCTTTGTCCTCAGGTACGACTGGGCCTATTGTGGTGTTAATGTGACCGAGCCCGGTGTTTGATCTGAAATCACAGCGGGGCTGATTGCAGGCGACCAGGAGTCTGAAGCTGTCAAGGGAGAAATTAAATGAAGCGTACACTTGAGGGGGGTCGCTCGTGACCCCAGAGGATAGAGAGACATGGACACACAGAGACTGCACACACATACACAGAGATAGAGACACATGGACACACACACACACAGATAGAGACATACATAGACACATGCCAGGCATACATACACAACACGTGCACACACTTACATATATAGACACATATATTCACATGCATGTATACAAACACACACACGCATACATACATAGACACCTACAGGGACCCATACACAGAAGCAGTGCAAACGAGCGCATAAATCCAAGAATTTGCAGACATGAGCGGGCGGGAGAGACGGTAGGAATATGAAATAAGTGGTTATATCTAAGTGCAAATGATCCGGTTTGGTTTCCAGGAGAATCCGTGTTAAACAAAAGAAACCGTTCTCCGTATTGACGTAGCAACCGCTCTGCTAATAGGAAGCGCTGCGGAATAACTTGGCAATAAATAATCGAGATTAAAAGAAAACGACTTTTTAAAGGCATCTACTAGTAAAGGGCCCAATCCTCAGGCAAAACTGCCGGTCAGCTCCTTGGGGAGACTTTTGCTTAAGAACTCATCGGCTGTAAAAGGAAACAAAAAATCTCTAGCGAAAAAAGAATACGAAGATTTTCCATAGCCTTCTCTAGGCTTTGGCTCAGGCCCTGGGATTTTAAAACGCAAATCGGCTAGGAGTTCTGACGGCTCGGAAAGAAATATATTTAATCGCTCTGTCGCTGGAGAGCTCGAGTAATTTCAACGCTGCCAGAGACCTGCCAGCCCTCGAGCAAATAAACGCTATTTTCCCCCAACGCACCCCTTTGGATTTTGCCGCAAAAACAAAACAAAAAATCAATATGAAAGCGGAAGAATAGCAGCATTGCCTTGGTTTCGAAAGGGGTCTGAGACACAGAGATTGTGCTCTCTACTTTACCATAAAACTAGTTTAAAACATAAGTTTCTGCGCCTCCAAAAAGTCACAGGACTGGCCCTTTTACACCAGCCTCATTTCCAGCAAGGAAAGTCACTTTTATTCAGCACAATAATGATTCGGATGCTAAGGGCAGGTTTGCTGGGAGTTGGGTTGCTTGAAATGGTGTACGGATCCTGGATCGTTGCCGTCTCCTCTTTACAGTGTCTGGGGAAATGATACAGGGTTGTTGGGGTGTTTAAGTGACACCGTATTTTGGGGGGGGGGGGGATAAAATGGAGAAAATCAGATCCGATGGGTGGATATTTCTGAAAATGATTTCCGAAGAACAGAACCTGCCGCGACTTCTTTCGTGAAGTTCCTAATATTCTTTATGCTCCTGAACAAAGGAGAACTTGGAAAACTGGTGAACGAGACTGTCCGGCCTTTACAAACAAATATACAATCGAAATTAGTTATTGGGTTTTTTGGGGGGGAGGGGAAGACGACCAATACGTTTAAGGCATATTGAAAAATGAATACACTCGAAGCTGAATGGCAATTAATTAGTTCTCTCCCCCATATTTTTATTACGGGCAGTAAAAAGAGCCCGAATTTGATATTGTTTTTCACATGTTATTAATTAGCTGAAAAGAAGATCAAGAATTCGTTTTGGAGACATAAAGTCTGGCGGTAAAATTAAGCAGTGCGGTTTCTTCTTTTTGTGATCTAGTTTTGGATCTAAATAGATAAAAAATGAATCTTCAGAGCTGTCCTGTGGGTCGCTTTTTTTTTTTTTTTAATTTCCTTTCCTCTCTGGTGGTGTCATTTATTTCTGTGTGTGATTAAAGCGGTAGGAGACAGGCACAAATAATAGCAGAAGAGCCTGGGAGTTTGCTAATCTTTAGTAGAAAGTGAAATATTCCTAAAGAGATTACAAAGTGTATCCAAAAGAATAATCAAATGGTATGTCTGTGTCTGATGTCTCCTTGCCTTCTTCCTTCCGCTAGGGTTCTGGCGAATATACCACACACTGGAAAAAAAATGGATTTAGTGAAAGGGGATCAGTTCTCTGATATTATTTCAGTTTGCCAAACCAGGTCACTGTCCCCCCCAAAACAACTCTCCGTACCTCACAAGGAGTGAATTTAGAATCAAAAGAGATAAGTCCTAGATAAGAGCAGATAAGCAGCAAGACAGAGAGAGACAAGGGAGATGAACGAGGGTGGCCCAAGCTTAACACGAAGGAAATTTTGGAAATCGTGAGGAGGGGAGAATAAATCTGGAGAATGGGAGCTTGTCAAAATGTCCAACCCCAATCGGCCTTTATCCCGATCCTCCAAATCTACTGATGGCTGCCCCCTCCCCAGTGTCAGAAACAAATGAAACCTAGAGGGGTGGGGGGAATCCATATGTGACGGGGCTTTGACAGTTTCCATGTCATGGCCAAAGAGGCAGGAGCCGAAACGAATCCACAGCAGGGAAAAGGCCCCTAAGAGGGCGAGCGATTTTCATCACAACGTTTGTAACAGCCTGAAAAACAGAATCAAGGCTGGCTCCGGATTTCTAGGGTCTTGAGAGGCGATCACGCCGCATCTGGGTCCCTGTAGCTGCGAGAAACGAGCAGATCTGACGCTGAGACTCCTGGAAAGGTAACAAGAAAAGAACTACCCACCTTTGGGGATGTCGGAGGGCTAGGGCACCCCCTGGCTTGGCTTTTCACCTCTAGCTCCTTGAGATCCACTGGGAAGCGGGGCTTTCCCCCTCCCCCGCCTGGCTCAGAGGCCAAGCACTGCCCTGCCAGCCTTTCCCTGCTCGCTCGCTCGCTCTCTTTCCCCCTTTCTCCACTGGCCTTCTCCTCTCCCACTTGGTGACTGGTTTCCCCACATCACGTGGCGGGGGAGGCAATCTCTGTTGCACCATCAGCCGGCGCCAGGCTTCATTCCTGTTTAAAAAAAAAAAAACCCACAGCAGCCAAAGTCCAGCAGTCTCTTCCCTGGCAGCTCCACTCCGCAGAGGAAGGGGCTTTTAGCTGGAGCCAGTTTATGACCCCCCGCATCCCTCCCAAAGGGAGGCACGGGCTTTAAAGATCTGACCCGGCATGAAGCTTTCTGGGTCGGTTGCCCTCCCCGGGGACCCAGTTTATGCCTGGACGCTGTGGAACATGGGGGGTCATTGTGCAGGCCCCTGTAGATGGGATGAAGGATCCAGACACAGGTTGAGGGGCCGGGGTTCTGGGAAATGGGGAGAAGAGGGCAGGAAAACACCTTCCCCGCTAGCCATAAATGTCCCCTTTGCCCCACAAAAACACTCTAGGATTTATTCTACTTTCCCATGGCGTTCACAGTCCTAGGGCCCAGATCCAAAGGACACGAAACTGGACTCCCCTTGGCCTCAGTGGTCTTCTCATCAGGCCCCTAGGGAAGGGATGCTTTCAGTTTAGGGTCAGCACATAAAACAGTGACGCCCAAGGGAGGTATGGCCAAAGGGTGACATTTCTGCAGGGATGTTTCCAACTCTAAAGATGGTCTGGGAGCCATGAGGAGTGGGTTGTTAGTGTCAGCGTCCGAGCTGGGTCCACCCTCTCTTCTAATAACTGCTCTGCAAATAAAACCTTTCCCCTGATTCCCCAGGCCTCCGTGGGACAAGCCCCGCATGTCTGCCTATGCACATATGCAACGGATGTACGGCTACATGTCAGCCTCCCCGGCAGGTCTAAAGGTTAATAGGGCAATCATAGAACAATATTGTTGCATAAAAATAGCCATCTATTCCCACCTAGCCTTCGGGTTCAGATAACAGCCGCAGCCATAGATCCTGGCTCAAGCGGGCCTCCACGCGGTTAGCATTTTATCATGCCAAATGACTGATTTCCAATATCTGGAAGCGTTGCTATTCGACAGGGAAGACGGGCTATATCAAACCAAGCCTGTATTAGTGAGTAAGCGAATTCCTCAGGCACATACATATTTCTGTGTCCCCTGCCGCTGCAGCCTCTTGAGAGCTCAGTGACATCGGTTCTGTTAAAGCCAAACCACCAGATTCCCAGCCAGGGGATCTGATCCCCACCAGGCAGGTTATAATCAACACACCGCCCAGAAAATCCCATTCAGGTGGGGGAGAAGGCTTTGAGTTGGGGGGTTTTGTTTCACATGAGGTCCATCTCTTGAAGATAAACCGCGATCCCCCTGCGAAAGGGTCCGCGCCGCCAAACGGGACCGTCCCATTCGGTCTGGTCCGGCGGCTAGATGGACTCAGAGCAAGAAAAGAAAACGTGACTTCGGGAGACGTTAGTAAGCGGTGGAAGTCGCTGGTGTTCTCGCTACCTGGCGGAGTAGCAAATTGACTAGATTTGAGCGACCAGCCTCAGCTTGACCACTGGCTTCTGCTCGGCTTCCAAGCGCTGCGCAACGGAAAAGAAAGCGCGACGGGTTTCGACTTTTTTTTCCGCGGCTGCTTCTTTCTTTGTTCCTTTCTTTACAACGCAACCCGGTGTTGGTTTTTTTTTTTTTTTCCCTCCTCTCTCTCTCTCTCTCTCTCGGGCTTATGCTTTTGTTTAGCCTTGTAGTTTTGACAAAGTACAAATTTCTTCCTTTCAATGTCAAGAACTGCACAAGCCTAATTTAATCTAATTTACCACGCTGGCTGCTTTTTAGAAATCCAATCTTGTGTATGAAGCACGGAGAACACAGCCTGGGTAGATCTGCGCTCTTCCTCTCCGAAGAACCCGGGAAATGGTTCCTAAATTGCAAAACAAAGCAAAAGACACACACACGTTTTAAAAGGTCTTGGGACATTAATTTAGGAGCGAATGGATGTACACATCTTCGTTTGAACGCTAAAGAAAGTAAACGGGTCGGGCAGCTGTAAAAGGATGAAACTTTTTAAAAATCCAAGAAACACAAAACAGCGAAACGGATTAAATTCCAAAGAAATTCTGATTTTTTAAAAAAATAAGCAAACAAACTGATCTTAACGTATTTCGGATTCAAACTAGAAATCTCACTCTGAAGCCACCCTGCAACCTTTTCCATTAAAACTGAAAAACAGTCTCAAGCAGCAGAACAGGAGAAAACTCCGTAGTCGGAGATCCTTCGCTCGTTGGGATGATGGGTGATTTTGTTTGTTTAGTTTAGTGGAAAAATAAAGAGCGTTTGGGTGAAATTCAGATCCATTTCGAACTACGCCGCGAGCTGCCGTGGGAGACGCTGATTCGATTTGCTATTTTCAGAATTAGTCTTATTTCGTGGGTTAGAAATAATGTCTTAAAATTGTACATGGAAGTGTGTATATTATCCACTCACATACACAACCTTCCTCCTATTTACAGGTACAATCTGAAGAAATTATTTATAATCCACATAATAAGTACCTAACAGCTACATATCTAGAGCTGTATAATCTAAACTCTCTCTCTCTCTCTCTCTCTATTATACTATACGATATTATTATATATTAAATATATTATAGCTATACAAACATGCATAGAATAATATTATGCACACGGACACACATTATATATAAATATATGTATGCGCTTGACTATGTGGTGTATATATACATACAATATATATGTGCGTATATATATAAATTATAAAGAAATATGTACAAATATATACAATATTTATACTATATGTTATGCATATAGAATATTATATATATATACACACACACACACACACACACACACAGAGATAATGTGTACGTGTGTGTCAAATAGATCTGTGCGTATTTCTTGAAGCAGTTGTGTATCCATATGTAATATATTTCTAACGAAGACATAGTTGCCTTTTCAGTGTATTTCCCCCCTGCTCTCAGAAACCCAAGCGAGTATTTTCTTTCTCCGCAGCCTGACTGGGACCTGAGTCTATTAAGGCTGATGGAGATTCTGTTTAATACTAATGCTTTCTTTTTTAAACAAACGAGTTTGCCGTGGTTGCCAGGAGCGGGGGAAATTTCAAGGACCTGTCTGCATTCGCTTTATCTCCGGACTTGTTCCAGGACTTTCACAATCTGTCAGATGCGTGCTCGGGAGTATTTCAGGAATAATAACAAAAATAAATGTTACAGGCGTTGTGTGGGGCTGGACTCGAACGCTCTGTCAAGGGAAATAGAATTCCCTATAAAATATCTCGCACTTTACATCCCAGGAACGACTGATACTGACGAGAGAGAGAAATCCAATGCAGCGATAGGGTGGGCAGTTTTCTCTGGATAATCTCGGAGGGGGCAATCGGCCTATTAATGAATAAAATATAGCGTTGCCTTTCAGGTTTTTGTAAAGTGCTGACAAATATGATTCATTAGCAATTGTATCTCTACAAGGGAGATTAACACAGAAATGACTTTTCTCCCTGGATGGATTCTCTTGGCTACGCCCTAGCCATGATAAAATACATTTTCATTCACAATGAAACTGGGGGCCGAGACCTCCTGCAACCGAACTCGACAAATGAGTCTGCCACTCCCGTTCAGTTTGGTTGTTTTTTTTTTGTTTTTTTTGGGGGGGTTGGGGGAGTCACGGCATTTGCATTCCTTTTTGGAAGGGGACCAAAAGAAGAAATTAGGACAGCAACGCCTCTTGGAGAGAACGCTTAAGAAACCAGGTTTCCTGAGTGCTGGTGAACAATGAAGACAACTTTTAAGATCCGGCTGCATGGGAAAAAAAAAGAAGGTTTAAGCGTATTTAAACGTTGTGAACGGTTAGGGTTACGCGGTACATTGACTGGACCATGCAGTCGACCTCGATATAAAGTCTTTCACTACGAAGAGGTTGCAAAACCAGGCCAGCAATCAGGTGCTTATTTCAGTACAGACTAGCAACAAAAGCACTGTCCAGATGTGTGTGGCTGCATATATACATTATTCCACGCATGCATATTATATCCTTACATACCTGTGTGTGTGTGCGCATCAGCACATATTGTATACACGTCCATTACGTGCATTCATATTATATATAATGGATGCATCCATCTCTAATATAGATGTATGTAATATAATGTTATGATGCATGCATAATGTATGCATCATATACATGCCTATTATAGATTATAGACTCGATGCTAAATTCTGTATTAAATCGTAGCATTTCACACGAAACAAATAGGAAACGCTGCACGCCCCAAAAGGGAGGAAAACATTAAACCTATTCCAAGAAACACCAAGCTCCAGGTGATTTTGCTCCTGTGACTCTTAAACATGATCAATTTTCGCAGCACTGCTGAAAAATCGAGGTTGCACAGGCATGTTTAATTATACTCGTCTCTCTGGCCGGGCGGGGGTGTAATAAAATAGGGGGTCCGATCGCAGAAACTTGGTCCAAGCTAATGTCCCGAGTGGAAATGTCCGAGGAACCGCTGCGGAATCGGGCCCTCTGCGGAGGCTAAATCCTGACTCTGAAATCTGAATCTTGAGGGAAGGGGGCTTTATTGAATTAAAATCTTTGTGTGGGGAGGAGGGGTGAAGAAAAAGAAAGCAGAATCCTTGCGAAACCAGCTATAACACAAATAAATGCAGGGATGCCCTTTACACCGGATTATTATGGTACTATGTGACAAATCAAAAGGGGACCCTTCCCTAACTCCCCATGTTAGCCCGAATTCCCTAATTAATCACACTAATCGGGCAGGGCGAGCTAGGGGAAAAAAAAGAAGCAGGAAATCAATAGAGACATTAAATAACAGACTCCATCTTCGTGAAAGTGCGGTTGATGGACACACCTCCCACGCCACCAGAGCTCAAAGGTTATGAAAAGGAGACGGGAGAGACAAAGTAGCGGGCCCGATCCTGGTCCCCGAGAGGTCAATAAGAAAAGGAGGACTTGTGGCACCTTAGAGACTAACCAATTTATTTGAGCATAAGCTTTCGGAGCTACACGCCCCGAGAGGTCAATGGCAGTTTGGGCCTTTCTCCACCCCGATCCCCCAAACACGCCCACAGGTAGGGGAAATGGAAAGTTAAATCTCGGAGTCCCTGAACTCCACGTGGTTTCAGATTCGGGCCCCGCATCCGTAACGTTTGAGGGATCGCGGCCAACCCTGGTGCGGTTTGTTTCTAACATGTGGCTCTAGGGGTCTGCTTCCCGGCAGGCGTGTGCGGTCCCAGAAAGAGGGGGAAGAAAGAACCCACGGAAAGGCATTCACCGGCGGAGCCGGCTGGGAAGCTCCCGTTCTCCCCCATTTCCCCCCCAA